CAGGCCCTTGCGCTTGCCAGGGAAGCACTTATTCTACTGAGCCACCTCCCGGCCCAGTACACATCTTTCTTCTCATTGAATTAAGCGAAAGTAGCTGTATATCTATCCTAACTATTCTGTATATACAAATACAAAATGGTCCTTCCTTTGTATCCCCTTTTTTTGTTTAGTCCTGTCCGAGATGGGTATTCCATTGGCATCTAAATACTGTAGGTGCTTGAATTCAGCAAAGCAATCCAACCCAGTCCAGCAGGCCACAGTAGTAGTGCGTTATCCGCAGAAGTTGTTGACTTGAGCCTTTCACAGCTCAGCGTATTAATACGGCTTTCCTTTATAGACCTCGTTTTTATACTTTTCTGCTGGATAGTTAAGACCGACTTCCGGTGTCTCTGCGCCGCCCCAAGGCGGACCCCCTCCTGCACCCCTCCACATCCCCGCCGGCTGGTTTCTGTCCCCTCCCTCGCGCATCCCTTCTGCCCTCACCCCCAGCTCGCACGTCCAGCGCGGGCCTGCACCTTCCCCCGCGCGCGATAGAGGACGCCAGGTGGCGCCCCAGTCTCGGAGGCGGCGGGAGGAGGGACCTTGGGGTGGCGTGAAGTCGGCTGGTGACCCACGACGTGGCAAGCTGTGCGACCTCCTATTGGCCAGCCTCTCGGGGCGGGCCAGTGGGCGGGGCGGGCTGATGGGGTGGACCTGTGCCCCTCCTCCCGCAGGTGCCCCGCGCAGGACAGGGCTGGAGCGTCGCCTGCTGCGCCCCACTGCAGCCAGGGCAGCGCCTCCCACGCACCCCCCGGACCCCTCTGCCTCACCTGGGCTGCAGCTAACCTCTGACGCGGCCTCTGCTCGTCCCCGCTCCTTGACGCCCACCCCGGACCTGCCCTCCTCGACGGTGCCCGACCTTGCCCCCGCAACGACGCCGCTGCCCACTGCGCCCTCGGAACCAACATTTGAGCCATCTGCTTCGCCAGAGGGGACCCCGGGATCTGACACAACACCAGATTGGGACACAACCGCGGGAACTTCTGGGCCCCCAGAGCCCTCCATCAGCTCATACCCCGCTACGACCTCATACACCACCACAGCTCCGAACCCCACCACCGCTCCGAACCCCACCACCACACTGTACCTCACTACAACCCCGCTCCCCACCACCACCACCACTAACCCCACCACCACGCAGTCTATCACTACAACCCCGCTCCCCACCACCACCCCTCACCCTACCATTATGCAGGACCTCAGTACAACCCCGCGCCCCACTGCCGCACCTCACCCTACCACCACCACCTCGCGCCCCACAGGGCCTCCCGACCCCTCCTCCAGCCCTAACATCTCTACTGAGTCTCTTCAAACCTCCCCAGGGACAGAATTCCTCCCCTCCACCCCAGCAGCAAGGGTTACGCCCAGCTCGCACCCCCAGGTGACCCTTACGGGACCCCCTCCAGCCCCCACGTCTCAGAGGCAGAGCCCAGCACCCTCTCAGCCCATTCAGGCCTCAGAGCCCAGCTCCCCCAGGTCTCCTCTAGCCGCAAGTACAGACCCACTATCCACCGAGGACTTCAGGCCCCCCAGGAGCCAGAACCCCACCCTAACTCCCCCACAGACCCTGGCCCCACCCCCTGATTCAGGCCCCACCGTGACCTCTGACCTCCCCCTTTCCCCCATGTTCAGTCCCTCAGACCAGCCACCCCTTGACCACCAGCCCCTAGAGCCAAGTCCTGGGCAGACCCTGGGTTCCCTTGGCCCCTGCGCCTCCCCAGCACCCCCTGTGAGGGTCATGGCTTGTGAGCCTCCTGCCCTGGTGGAGTTGGTGGCTGCTGTGAAGGACATTGGTGGCCAGCTGCAGAGACTGACCCAGGTGCTGGAGCAGGACCAGTCGGAGCGCCGGGCCCTGGGGCTAGGACTGGCCCAGCTGGTGGAGGCTGCCCGGGGTCTGGGGCAGCTGGGCGAGACAGTAAGGAGACTGGCGGAAGTGGCCCAGCCCACCAGCACTCCTAGGCCCCCCAGCACCACCCCAGAGGAGGAGGAGAGACCTCTGAGGGGAGATGTGTGACCCTCTCCTAGATGTGGGGGTTCAAGCTAGTCTCAGACACACCAAAGAAAATCACAGTAACTAAAAACAAGGTGCAAATGGAATTTCTGAGGGACAGGGGAAGCCTGGGGAGATGAAATTATAAGAGTGATTTGGGTTGGTGAAAACTGTGCTGGGGCTATAGCTCAGCAGCGGCACAGCACCTGCCTGGCAAACACGAGGTCCTCAGTTTAGTTCCTGGTACAAAAGTAAAAATAAGGGCTGGGGAGATAGCTCAGTAGACTAAGCACTTGCCTGGCAAGCACAAGGTCCTGAGTTCAGCCCTGGTACTGCAAAAAAATAAAAATAAAAAGTGGATTGGTGAAAACTACAGGTGCCAAGTATGGTGGTGGTGGTGGTGGTGGTGGTGGTGGTGGTGG